TTTTTTTTTTTTAAGTTTCTCTCTCGTATTAAATTCCTTCAGCCTGAAGAACTTCTTTCAACCTCTTCAGATGATGGATTCCATTTTGGCGGTAGTGGCGATAATGGAAATGGAGCAGTAGTCATGTTAACTTTCATTTGTTTCACTGAACATGTCTTTATTTCTCAGTCCATTTTTTTGGTGCATAGATTTCATGTTAAGAGTCTAGTGACTTGTGTAGTTCCTGAAAGGATGTCTGTTGGAATCCTTACATTTATTCTTCTGTATGTGATTTGCCTCTTTTTCCCTGGCATCCTTTAATATATTCTATCTTTGGGTTCCTTCGGTGCAAGTAAGTTGCGTCCAGGCGTGTTCTGGGGATGTATTAATTCTGCTCAGTGTTCTCCAAGATTTTTTTTAGCTCTAGGGGAACATCTTGATATCTTTCATTATTTTTGGAAAAATTTCCACCAATATCTCTTCAAATATCACCATACCATTTTCTCTCCTTCCTCCTTCTGAGATTCCAAGTATAACGATGTTAGATAGTTTTATCACAAAACTCCTTTATTCTCTGCTCTGGTTTTCTTCTCTTTTTCTCTTCAGTTTCATTTTGATTGATCTCTGTTGACTCATCTTTGAGTTTACTAATTTTTCCTTGGCTATATGGATTCTGCTGATGAGCCCTTTAAGGGAATTTTCATCCTTATTACCATGTAATTTTTAAAAATTTCTAATATTTCCCTTTGTATAGTTGTATTCTCTCTGCTGAAATTGCCTATTTGTTCAAGCAACTGCCTATCTTTTCCCTAAAACATTTAATATCTTAATTATAGCTAATTTAAATTCCCTGCTAGTTAGTTTCAACATCTGAGTCACATATGACTGGTTCTGCTGCTTCCTGTGCCTCTTACTTTTTTAAAAAATGTTTTTTTAATGTTTACTTATTTTTGAGAGAGAGAGAGACAGAGACAGAGAGTGAGTGGGGAAGGGGCAGAGAGAGAGGGAGACAGAATCTGAAGCAGGTTGCAGGCTCCAAGCTGTCAGCACAGAACCCAAGGTGGGTCTTGAACTCAGGAACCACAAGATCACGACCTGAGCGGAAGTCGGACATTTAACCTACTGAACCACCCAGGCGCCCCAGTGTGCTTCTTTCTTTTTTGTGCAACTTAATATTTTTGGTTGAAAGCCTAACCCGTGTGTAGGACCATAGAAACTAGAGTGAAGAGTGTTTATGCTCAGAAGCAAGGAGGGAGAAAGTGATCAAATCTAGTCAAGGTTTGAGCTGGTTTGTTTTGTTGTTGCTATCATGACTCTCAGTGTATCACTTTTGCAGTTAGGGTGTAAACAGGACTGCTGGAGAAGTCTTCTCCATGATTCTCTTCTACCCTCAGCTTTAGAATTTTTTCTGTATCAACCTGTGCCACAATGAGGGTCTCTCTATGCTTTTCCTCTTCCTCCAGGGTTAGAAGTTTGTTATTATTTGATGTATTTTAGCCTCAGATAGGTAGATAGGGTCATTCTTCATTGTCCTGGTTCATGCTGGGTCTCAATCAGGCCCTGCATCACTGGGTCTCCAAGCTAACTCTTTATCAGCGACTGTATGCCCTGCTGAAGGTAAGGATTTCAGTGATCGAAATTCAAGTTGATTCTCTGCATC